ACACTTTTTGGGGGTGGGGGCGGGAGGGGAAGGATTGGGGTCAGAATGGGGCGTTTGCAATTGTATGGGGGAATATAAAAATAAAATTTAATATTTAAAAAAAATAAAAAAAAAATTAAACAGAACGAGAGAATTTAAAAAAAAAAAATAAATAGCAAATGGGGGTTGTTTTAAACCATTTGGGATAATTGGTTTTAAGCCATTGACTTTCAGCAAAGTGTTTTACAAAATAAAACACGAATATGCTCTCTGAATTTCCCAGGTAGCCTCAGGTGGCTTACACTGAGATCAGTTGGCTTGAGAAGCAGCAGGTGAGGCCTGGGTTAGAGGTAGCTGTTCACAATATGCACACCCTGCCTTATTCCCTTCTTTCAGAACAAAACCAGGAACAGGTTAACTTCCAGTCTGGTTCACTGGACTAATTCTCAATGGAAACGGTGGCATAAGGGAAGAGACATTGTGGGTGGATACAGGAAGAACCAGGGAAACCCACTCCCGAGAAAACCAGTGAGGACACTGGCAAGGCATGTCCAAGGTTTTCAGCAGTCTGGGGATTACCGAAATGCTTGCAACAAGCTGAAGAGTGTTGATTCAAGAAAGAATGGCTGGATCGCAGTAGAAAGAATGGCTGGATAACCATAGCAACAAGGAGATTTGGGATGTTTTCACCAGAAATATCCGGCCCTGATCCTCAGGTCCCTGGTAGCCTTGAAGCCAGTGACTTCTCGTGGCCAGTTGCTCTGAACAGCAGCAAGTCATCAGCCAAGGAGAGGGAGACACTGGCTGGAGGTCCCAGCAATCGGTAGTCCCAAACAACTGTCACTAGATAACTTGTCTGATGACTGCCTGCGAAGGACGGTTCTCCGGGCTTGTCAATAACGACGTCCTCTGAGAGCTGGCTCTGCGGGAATAGCCCTGTTCATCCTCTGAAGGTGCAAGGTAGGAATTCCTGCAGTGTGGGGAGAACAGCGAGGGAGGACAGTGGGCAGCCTGTTGGAGCTTTGAGTTTTCTGGGAATACTTCTCAGGTTTCCCCTACCGATCATGTGTCCCAGAGGACACTCTTCTTAACAAATGCTTCTAAATAGCTCATCAGGAATAGTTGTTGTTTTGGGATGATGTTATTATTTTCCTCTTTTAATCTGTGAATAAAGTGTACCGGTTATATTGCCTGTCAGCTCCAATTTCACCCTGTTTCTCCTCTGTGATAATGTTCAGGCCTTTAAATATTTTTTTATTGTGGTAGTTGTTCTAGAAATGTGTCTGCGGAGGGCGCTAGAGCGCACGAAAGGGGCAAGTCTGGCCTCCTGGTGCTGGGTTGCGGCCACGGCGGGCTCCTGCGGCATGCCAGGCTGCCCCGCGCAGGCTCCACGCCCGGCCGGCTCGTCCAGTGCTCCGCGGCCTGCTGCAGGCCAGGGAGGCTGCGGCTTCCCGGAGCCCCTCCCAGGAGCACATCCCAGCTCTGCAGAGACACCTCCCCGTGCGCATCGCTCCGCTCCCTAGAGGGCGCGTTTCCAGCGAGTCCCAGAGAGCTCTGTTCTAGCTCATTCCACCGGCGAGGCGCGACTCCACTACCATTTTGTGAGTTGCTCCCGGGCTGTCTCAAGCAGGCGAGGAGGGCGCTCCTTCTGACTTTGTGCCGTCCCTTTCAGGAATGCGAGATTGCTTTGAAATTTGAACATCAATGCAATGCACCACATTGACAAAAAAGGGCAGAGAAACATGATTTTTTTTTTTAAAATAAGTCCCAGGGTATTTATTTTTTATTTATTTATTTTTGTTGTTGTTGTTGGCCCCTCGCCGGCGGCCGGGGAACGAACCGGCCCCTCGCAGCCCAGCGCTCCACCGCTGCGCCCCCGGGGAGGCCCGACATGATCATTTTTTAATAGATGGTTGAATTTCAACATTTATTCATGCCAAAATCTATTAGTAACTTTGAACAGCACCCTGGGGAGGGTTCTCTTCCCCGGCGCCGTGTCTCTGCCCCGGTAGGGTCTCTCCCCGCGGTGCACCCGTTGACGGTGTGTTGCGCTGCCTGAGCTCCGTGCACCCGCTTGCTCAGGGCTGGCCTCACCCAGGGGAGGCATTTTCCTGGGGCCGCTCACCCCAGCCATGTTGGGGAGGGGCTGCCCTGGCCCTCGACCTCAGCTCAGTCCTGCGGGGGACTCTCCGGGGGTCATTGTCAGCATGGCTGAGGGGGCCTTTTCCTTGAGGGCTTTAAAAAAAAAGATTTATTTATTTATGCAGACAAGAGCTGGGGTGCAGGCCAGAGATGGGGGGGGTGAGAGGATCCACCAGAGAGAGAGTGGGGAACAGAACAGGCGGATCTACTGAAATACTCTGCTGAGGGGAGCAGTGGGCGAGTCAGGAGAGGACTGCTGCGCCATGTAGGTTGCTCCCTGGCCGGTGGGGGATGGATCTCGTGTTGCAGAGGCTGCGGATTGCTTCATAGTGCGGTGCCTAACCCCTTGCGCCACCAGGGAGGCCCCCTTGAGGGCTTTTTCTCCGTCCTGGGGCACTTAGCATGGGATGGTCTCTCCCCGGCCTGGGGGTGCTCTTCCTCAGCTGCTCCCTCTAAACCGCCTATCAGACTCTTTCTTGGGGGTGGTGGGGCCATGGGTGAGGGGGAGCTGTATGCTTTCTCAGGCATGCGGCCCTGCGGTTTGGGCTCTTTCTCGGTGCCCCCTCAGACACCTGGGGTGGCGGAGACTCCTGCTTCCCAGGTCAATCTCTGCCCAGGGGGGCTGTGTCCTGAGAGCTCTCTCTGAGGCCTGGATGGGCACTTGATCTCCCTTAGGTCGGGGTGCCTTCTCTTCCTCGGGCCCTCTACCCAGGCCGTGGCCGGGGACTGTGCTCTGGGCTCTGTCTCTGCCTTAGGGGTGGCTTCTCCTGGGCCCGAGGATCTCCGCCTTGGGGGAACGTCTCACACGGGCAGTTTGGGGCATTTGGGGGTAAACAGGGAAGGGGGTCTGCTACTCGGATGTTCTGTGTCAGCTCTGGGGTGCGGCACTTTTCTTTCATGTTTTCCCTTTTGGTTATATGCCTTTACTCTCTTAGAAAACAGAACCTGCTTGGGGAAGAATAATTTCATAACGAAATCCACACCAGAAAAGTAACATACCTTTACTTCTAGCTGGTGTTTTAAGTGCAATATATATGCCTTGTGCCCCCAACTGAGACCGCAGTACCCATCGTAGGGCCTGCTTTGTTTTGTGTCATGAGTGTTTTCTGTAGTTGGTGAATGTTATTCTAAAATCTGTGTTTTAATGGTTGCAAAGTAATCATATAGCTAATGATTTGTCATCATCGGCAGCGTTAAACATTCAATTTACTTGTAATTTGTAACTTGATAAACCTTTATGTTCAAGATTATTTTCATATGTAATAATTTCTCAAATTCATTTCTAAATTAGTCAAAATAGCACTGCATGGGAAGAAATCATGAAAAATCAGACAAAATAGCAGCAATTTTACATGTCTGTGAGCAGGCATGTTTTCTTGTCACCTTGACCATCTTCACTCCTGGTGATAAGTTTAATATTTACAGGGAGTAGGGTTTTCCTACCTTGCTCCTCTTCATTGGTAGAGGAACTAGGGTGCAGGCCAGAGGTGCGGGGGTGGGGTGAGAGGATTCACTAGAGACAGAGTGGGGAGCAGAACAGGCAGATCTACTGAAACACACTGCTGAGGGGAGCAGCGGGCGAGACAGGAGAGGTCTGCTGTGCCCTGTGGGTTAGTTCCCTGGCTGGGGATCAACTCAGGCCATGGCAGTGATAGTGCTGAAACTTAACCCCTAGGTCACCAGGGTGGTCCTAAACATAAAACTTTATGAGAGGGCCTCCCTGGCGGTGCAGGGGTTAAAGACAGTGCTATCAAGGGATGGTCAGCCACTGCAATATGATTTCCATCTCTGGCCAGGGAGCTCACCCATATGGTGCAGCAGACCTCTCCAGTCTTGCCCACTGCTCCCCTCAGCAGTGTATTTCAGCAGATCTGCCCGTTCTTCTCCCCACTGTGTCTCTGGTGAATCTTCTCACTCCCCCCACACCTCTGGCCTACACCCCAGTTCTTGTATGCATAGATAAATAAATCTTTAAAAAAAAACTATGAGAAATGAAATATAGGAATGGGCTTTTGCTAGTGGATTCAATGGTCTTATTATGTTCCCCACTACCCTGAACTGGTTGGCTCAATAGAACTGTGGAGTGACTCCTTGAAACCTCAGTTATAGTTCTAGTTTTGTGTCAGTGCCTTTTGAGACGGAGGCAACATTATCTAGGGGGTGGCAATGCTCTATCTCAGTGCCCAGTATGTCATGATTTTTCTCCCATAGCCATGCACCTGTCTTCAGCAATGAAGATATGGCAATGAGAGGAATCCTCACTTTTATTCTTGCATATCCAGTAGCAAAATTTTGCATTCTATCCCCATAACTTCTGCTCTGCTAGACTACAGGTCTTTTTTCAAATGGAAAAATGTTTCCAACTAGGGGCCCAAAAATGACTCATTGAAATGGAAGTTGGGACTGCCAGCCAGCCACATGGGATTGCTCAGCATCTCAATCAATGAGCAAAAATGGATCTCCTCAATGGTCTAGAGTGATGTAACCTGATTATCAAAGAAAACTGGTTGCTACTACACAGTGGCTAAGGAAAAGTATGTGCTGAATGTCTAGAGCCCTTCCTAATACACTCATATTTTGTGACTGACTAAAGGTCATGGAAAATTACAACAATCCAATCAGGCAGGATATCTGATGGTTCAGATACTTCAGCAATGGAGCACTGAGTCACTCCAACCCCAGGACAAGCACCATGACCAGCTGAGACGCAGTCTCAGAGCAAAGGGAATAAAAAACAGGTAGTGAAAGGAGAAAATAATAGCCAGCTATGACACACACAGAAACAAGGGCTGTAGCATAACATGCTAATTTAATAATCTCTCACCTATGGCAGGAAAAGAAACAGTAGAATTTATCCTTTCAAAGAATTATTAGGGCAAAACACCACCTATTACTAACAGCAATTTATAACAGGAAGCAGCTCCACTGCTTTCTCATAGCCTGTGGAAGGCAATTCTATTAACTAACACATGCTTGGAGGCATTAAAAAGTATCCTATTCCATTACAGAGAACACCAATCTGGTTCTTGTTTTTCATCTACCATTGAGAGAACAGGATTAGGCGTTTGGGGTAGAATGATCTTTCTTGAGAAAATGACCAGAATCTATTTTATCAAATTCCCTCTCAAGGCGCTGAATTAAGTCTCTTCTTTTAAATCTGAAAATAAAGAAGACAAGTCATGAATGAAAAGATACATCAAGAAAGCATGCATGTGGGAGGCACAAGATGGAGGAACGTATAATCCATTGGACAATGGAAAGTACATCTGTGTGGCATGAGACTCCCTAGCAAATACAAGGTGTCAAATAAATGTCCATGCCCTGGTCAAACGCTGATAAAAATAGAAGTCACCTTGAACACAGAATGAGGGAGACTCAGAATAGACCAATCGAGTAACTGTGGAGACAGCATTCACCAAGTGAGGACGAGGGCTTAGGAAACAGAAAGCAGGGTGACTTCCCACCCCTTGGCCCAGCACTGCTTCAGGTCCAACCACTGTAAGAAATCAGAGAGCTCCTCTTCACACCCACCTTGCGGCTTCCTTGATGGTAAATTCAACAAGTTTTCTCCTCATTTGTGGGGGTCCTTGAACGCCTTTGAGCAATTTGAAGATTCTTTCATATTCTGAAGATGTTTTAAAAAGAATTCTTCAGTATTTCTCAACTATTTATAGGAGACAGAATGCAACCTTGGTGTAGCCACTACCTAGCTAATCATTTTTCAAAGGCTGGGATGTTACATAGTCTATGTGTTTTCAAGGCTTAAGTCAAGGTATTTGCACATAAGTATTCATGCAACTCCTGTACACAGGAACTAAGGGAAAAAGGAAAAACGTGGGATGGGGGAGGTGTACTGGGATTCTTGAGTCAAAATATAAAGGCGCTATCTTAAATTACGTGGAAACCCAATTCTAGCAAAGAATGACTCATGAGGTACCACCACTCTATTCTAAGTCACCGAATGAGAATGATTTCTCTGGACTTTTTTAACTGATAGAAATTCTTATATACTCACTTCGTCCAAACAGTCGAATCGCCTTCCTTAGTTCGTGTTTTATATCAGCACCAACTGCCTCTGGATTTAATGGTACTCTGCTCAGCTTTGGTCCCAACACATGCACTGCCGTGGCTTTTGGGTCATCTGCAGAAAGGTACCTGGTAACTATTCCTCCTACAAGTGCATCTCTACCAGCCTTGTGATCAGCCCACCCTTGTAAGACTGGTTACATCATCAGAAAAAGAACCCAAGGGATCAATGCGATGCCATCTCCTGCCATAGTCATCAGCTCTCGTGAGCAGATTTTTTTTTAAAGATTTATTTATTTATTTATACAAGAACCAGGGTAGAGGCCAGATGCACGGGAGGGTGAGAGGATTCACCAGAGACAGAGCGGGGAACAGAACAGGCAGACTGACGAAATACACTGCAGCAGGCGAGACAGGAGAGGTCTGCCGCACCATGTGGGACCCTCGCTGGCCGGCTGGGATCGAACTTATGCAGCAGAGGCTGTGGACAGCTTCACAGTGCTGCGCTCAACCGCCTGTGCCACCAGGGGAGGCCCTCTGGTGAGCAGATTTTGATGAGAATTCATCAGGTGGCTTTCCCTCACCTCCCTATGGATACCATGAATGACAGGAGTATTTGGAAAACAAAGATAGAGGTTGACTGCTAGGTTTTGTGTACCATCACCCCCATAGGGATAGGTAAGTGCTCCTCAGTTTCTAGGGAATAATCGATTTTATAAGGTAAAAGGATGTATCAGGGAAATGACAAATTGAGGTCAGGAAAGAAAGATAACAAAACCACCTTTATCTCTCCTGGCACTCTGAACACACCAGAATGTAGGTGGACAGTCCAACTCATAAGCACACATTCTTGGCGCTCTGACACTTGTGAGTTAATGTTGCCTTGAAATGCTGATGGATTCTTGGTCTTTTGGCTAAGATCAAGTGCTAAGATCAAGTTCTTATCAGTTTACATCTGATCCACCCTCTATCTGAGGACAATATAGTAAATGGATTTTTGGAACAGGGAGATGGAATAGGACCTTGCTCTGCTCACTCTCTGCATCGACCTGGTATTTCAGTATCTCCAGGAACTGTGCACCCCCCTCAGGGAAATGACTTAGTGTTACCGTGAAGAAAAAAAATAAAGGCAAGTTGAAATGCCAACAATCTCTCTTGATGTTAAGAAGTCTGATATTTGCATCCCATCACCAGAAAGACCTGGTTATCTAGAAGCAGAGCAAACAGAAGCTATTGTAGTGACTGGGCAGTGTGGACTACAGGGTAGAGTATTGGTGCGATTCAGGAATGATCACCATAAAGAAAAAAAAAAAAGCAGGAAGAATGAAAATGCCATCAGCAAGGAGAAGAAAAACAGTAAGTGCAGAGTATGGGAATCCTAGAAAGTTTCCACACAGGTCGGAGTGAGCAACTATGGCTGAAAAAGTAAGACCTTGCTGAGAACAGCTCCAGGGGAGCGAAGGAGGCATCAGGCAGACTGTACCGGGACAGAGCCTGAAGAGGAGGTGAGGCCAGGCATCCTTATCATCCTCCACACACAAGCCTGAGGCCCTGGGATGGGATTCGTCCTCTCCTTCCTTTTTCACTGACAGCGGGGTCATACTCAGCCTTTTGCCAGATGAAAGACGGCTCTTGGATTCTCCATATTTTCTTTCATTTTCAGGTGCTTCAGCCAACACCTCAGCTTCACCAGTCATACTTCCTGAGAAACAGCCATGAACATCCATGAAGATATTCCATTTGTGTCAAACATGTCATCATTACAAGATCGCTTTTTGCATAGGTCTATATAGCGTTCATTTGTATAATCGATGTCATCAGTCATGACAGAAGGATTAACATGCCCCCAAGCAACACTGTGTTGTCAGGAAAAGCAATCTAATTTTAATCCAGTGAAGGTGATGAAAGAAGGAAGTCACCAGACATATGTTGTCCAAAACCAAACATGAGTATAATCATGATTAATCAGAATGCTCTGGGAGTCAGCTACTCTCATTCTCCACGAGTGAATAAAAATATGACTACCTGTTTCAAGAATTATAAACCAATCTTTTCCAATTTCTGCTAGGGGAAATAATTCTTCTTTCTTGTCCTGTATTCCGGAGGTCCATATGAACCATTGACAAGGACATCAAAACAACCAAAAAGTGCAGGCACAATCTCTCCTGAACTTAAGACACAAAAATTCTAAACAAAGATTAACAAATAAAATACAATAATACATACAAGGGCATACATTCTGACTTTGTGTGGTACATTTCAGGAATGCAAGATTGCTTTGAAATTTGAAAATCAATGCAATGTACCACATTGACAAAAAAGGGCAGAGAAACATGATCATTTTTTAATAGATGGTTAAATTTCAACATTTATTCATGATAAAATCTACTAGTAACTTTGAAGAGAGGGCAATATCCTCAACCTGATAAAATCTACAAATAAAACTATAGCAAATGTCACAATTATTGGTAAAATATCAGATATCTTCTTCCTGAGATGGGAAAAAAGACAAAGATGTTCACTATCCAAAGATAATTTACTGAAGGTCCTAAAAAGTGTAGTAGGATCAGGAAAATATAATAGTTACAAAGTTTGAAAAGAAATAAAACTCATTATTCGTAGATGACAGTGTTCTGTATTTAGAATATGCAATAATGTGTAAAATCATTATAGCCAAAAAGTAAATTTAGTCATTATTAGATATAGCAGAAATCACTTTATTTCTATAGAATAGCAACAAATAAGTAGAAAATGAATTTTCAAAGGCCATTGAAAACATTATCAAAAATTCAAATATCTAAGTCTAATGAAAGGTATATTAGGACACTACAAGAAAACAATAAGACATCAATGAGAAACTAAAGATCTCAAGAGGGGAAAAGAAAAAACAAAACACTTTTTGCAAGGATTGGAAGAGTCATTATTAAGAGCCATTATCATCAATTCTCCCTACAGTGATCTTTACCAATCTCATTTAAAATCCCATTATGTTACTTTTTTGTGAAAATGGACAAGCTGAGAGTAAAAAATGGTATGGAAACTAAAGGGCTAAACACAGTCCTCAGAAAAAAAAGCAAATTTGTTTTAAAAATTTATTTATTTATGCATACAAGAACTGGGGTGTAGGCCAGAGTTGCAGGGGGGTGAAAGGATTCACCAGAGACAGAGTGGGGAGCAGAACAGGCAGATTGATTGAAATACACTGCTGAGGGGAGCAGCGGGCGAGACAGGAGTGGTCTGCTGTGCCTATGGGTCACCTCCCTGATGGGGGGGATAGAAGTCGTGCTGCAGTGGCTGAGGATAGCCTTATAGTGCTGACACGTAACCCCTAAAAAGATTTACCATAAAAGTATAGTCATTAAAACAGAGTAGCATTGATGCAAGGATGGGCAAATATATCAATGGGAGAGAACGAAGTATGGAAATAAACCTGGAAATACAAAACAACTAAATGCTATGATATAAGGACGCCAGCAAAACACTGTGTGAAGGGCAGTGTTTGAAATAAATTATTTTGATACATACAGAGGACCTTATTAACTCTTACCTCATCTCATGCTACAAAAGTTGACAGGGCAATCTAGTAGAAAACTTATGATTTTATCTTCAAAGTTAGAGGGTAAGCAAAAAAAAAAAAAACTTTTACAAGGGTAAATAAGGCACTAACCAAAAGTAATATATTGTTTAATTATAAATAGTGAAATTTAAAACTTCTATTCATCATTATTAATAGAGTAGGGGCCTCCCTGGTGACGCAAGGGTCAAATGTCGGCACTATGAAGCTATCTGCAGCCACTCCAGCACAAATTCAATCCTGGGCCAGGGAGGTGACCCACATGGGGCATGACCCGCATGACCCACATGACTTCTCCTGTCTTAGCCACTGCTGCCCTCAGCAGTGTGTTTCAGTGGATCTGCCTGTTCTGCTCCTCATTCTTGTCTCTGGTGAATCCTCTAACCCACCGCACCTCTGGCCTGCACCTAGTTCTTGTATGCATAAATAAATCTTTTTTTTTTTTAAAAGTGAAATTCAAAAACTGATCTGTTGAAGATAATTAAAAGTATATGATTATGTAAAATTTGATAAATATTTAGACAAATATTATAGTCATGCAATGTATAAATATGCATATGTACCTGTATATGCATACATAGTTTGCTACATAGCCAAACAATCGGTGGAATCCAGAATATATGTAGAACTATAAATCAGTTTAAAAATTATACATTCCAGGGCCTCCCTGGTGGTGCAAGGAGTTAAGCAATGCACTATGAAGCAATCCCTAGTCTCTGCAGCACAAGTTCAATCCCCAGCCGCCAGAGAGAAACCCACATGTCATAGCAGTCATCACATGACTCACATCACTCACTCACTCCCCTCAGCAGTGTGTTTCAGTCAGTCTGCCTGTTCTGTTCCCCACTTTGTCTCCAGTGAATCCTCTCACCCCCCACATCTCTGGCCTGCACCCCAGCTCTTGTATGCATAAATAAATAAATCTTTAAAAAAAAACCCACATGTTTTAGAATAACATTCACCAACTACAGAAAACACTCATGACACAAAACAAAGCAGGCCCTACGATGGGTACTGCGGTCTCAGTTGGGGGCACAAGGCATATATATTGCACTTAAAACACCAGCTAGAAGTAAAGGTATGTTACTTTTCTGGTGTGGATTTCGTTATGAAATTATTCTTCCCCAAGCAGGTTCTGTTTTCTAAGAGAGTAAAGGCATATAACCAAAAGGGAAAACATGAAAGAAAAGTGCCGCACCCCAGAGCTGACACAGAACATCCGAGTAGCAGACCCCCTTCCCTGTTTACCCCCAAATGCCCCAAACTGCCCGTGTGAGACGTTCCCCCAAGGCGGAGATCCTCGGGCCCAGGAGAAGCCACCCCTAAGGCAGAGACAGAGCCCAGAGCACAGTCCCCGGCCACGGCCTGGGTAGAGGGCCCGAGGAAGAGAAGGCACCCCGACCTAAGGGAGATCAAGTGCCCATCCAGGCCTCAGAGAGAGCTCTCAGGACACAGCCCCCCTGGGCAGAGATTGACCTGGGAAGCAGGAGTCTCCGCCACCCCAGGTGTCTGAGGGGGCACCGAGAAAGAGCCCAAACCGCAGGGCCGCATGCCTGAGAAAGCATACAGCTCCCCCTCACCCATGGCCCCACCACCCCCAAGAAAGAGTCTGATAGGCGGTTTAGAGGGAGCAGCTGAGGAAGAGCACCCCAGGCCGGGGAGAGACCATCCCATGCTAAGTGCCCCAGGACGGAGAAAAAGCCCTCAAGGGGGCCTCCCTGGTGGCGCAAGGGGTTAGGCACCGCACTATGAAGCAATCCGCAGCCTCTGCAACACGAGATCCATCCCCCACCGGCCAGGGAGCAACCTACATGGCGCAGCAGTCCTCTCCTGACTCGCCCACTGCTCCCCTCAGCAGAGTATTTCAGTAGATCCGCCTGTTCTGTTCCCCACTCTCTCTCTGGTGGATCCTCTCACCCCCCCCATCTCTGGCCTGCACCCCAGCTCTTGTCTGCATAAATAAATAAATCTTTTTTTTTAAAGCCCTCAAGGAAAAGGCCCCCTCAGCCATGCTGACAATGACCCCCGGAGAGTCCCCCGCAGGACTGAGCTGAGGTCGAGGGCCAGGGCAGCCCCTCCCCAACATGGCTGGGGTGAGCGGCCCCAGGAAAATGCCTCCCCTGGGTGAGGCCAGCCCTGAGCAAGCGCACCCCACACTAGACGGGTGCACCCCAGGGAGAGACCCCTCTGGGGCAGAGACACGGCGCCAGGGAATAGAACCCCTCCCCAGGGTGCTGAACTCACCTGCTTGAGACAGCCCGGGAGCAACTCACAAAATGGTAGTGGAGTTGTGCCTCGCCGGTGGAATGAGCTAGAACAGAGCTCTCTGGGACTCGCTGGAAACGCGCCCTCTAGGGAGCGGAGCGATGCGCACGGGGAGGTGTCTCTGCAGAGCTGGGATGTGCTCCTGGGAGGGGCTCCGGGAAGCCGCAGCCTCCCTGGCCTGCAGCAGGCCGCGGAGCACTGGACAAGCCGGCCGGGCGTGGAGCCTGCGCGGGGCAGCCTGGCATGCCGCAGGAGCCCGCCGTGGCCGCAACCCAGCACCAGGAGGCCAGACTTGCCCCTTTCGTGCGCTCTAGCGCCCTCCGCAGACACATTTCTAGAATTGCCCCCTACCCCCCACACACGGACACATGTGTGCGCGGGATCCCCTCCGTACACAGACAAAAGGAACCAGAACAATTTTTCACAGATCAAGACAAACAGGTGAATTTGGAACTGAGAGGCAATAAATCAACAGTCAGCACATAGTATTCACAAATGGAAGAGAAGAGTCATAGTCTTCCTAGGCAATACAGAAAACACAAGCAATAAAATAAAAAAAAAATTCATGAAGACAAATTTAAAAAGTGAATCTACCAGAAATCTTCAGCGCACATCATTCCTAGTGGTGAAAAATTAGAAGCATTCTTTGTTACATCAAGAACAACATAAGAGGGACTCCCTGGTGGCCTAGGGGTTAAATCTCAGCCCTATCACCCCTACAGCCTGAGTTTCATACCTGGCCAGGGAGCTAACCCACACATGGCGTGGCAGACCTCTCTTTGTCGCTGGCTGCTCCCCTTAGCAGTGTGTTTCAGAAAATATTCCTGTTCAGCTCCCTACTCTGTCTTTGGTGAAATCTTTCTCTCTCACACACACACACCCCTCCCTCTGGCCTACACCCCAATTCTTCTACAAAAATAAAACAAGACAAGAATGTTGACTATTACCACTCCTGCTGACCATGACACTGTAAGAATCCCTAAATTGTACCCTAAAATAAAAGATAAATGAGTTATTTGGTTAAACCAAAAAGTTAAAGTAGTCTATAGAAAAGAATTTAACAAAGAGGCTAAATATAAACTCAACACATAAAAATTAATTATATTTCAATATAACAGCAATAAGAAATTTAGGAAAGTTAGGAATAGCTGTTAACATTAGCAAAATTCTATAAGGAATAAGTATATATATAGATATATAGGTATACATATTTAACACATGGACTATATATTCAGAATATTTATGGAATATAGTGCATGTATATGTATGTATAGTGTATGCATGTGTATATGTGGAATGAACATAATTAAACCTGTAAAATCAGTATGCAGAAAATTATACTATTTTATTGAAAGACATCAGAGACTTGAAGTGCTACACCATAGATAGTTAAGACTACTGTCACTACCCTCCAGTACAATTATAATCAGAATCCCAATGGTGTTTCTCATGGAACTTGACAAGTAAATTTATAAAATATAAATTTATAAAAATACAAAATTTACATGGAAAAGGAAATGCCCAAGACTAGTCCAAGACTAATATGAAGAACAAATTAGGGGGATCTGGGCCTCCCTGGTGGCACAAGGGGTTAAACATCGCACTATGAAACAATTCGCAGCCTCTGCAGCACAAGTCCGATTCCCTGCTGGCCAGGGAGCAACCCACATGGCAAGGCAGACCTCTCCTGTCTCGTCCACTGCTCTCCTCAGCAGTGTGTTTCAGTCAGTCTGCCTGTTCTGTACCCACTCTGTTTCTGGTGGGTCCTCTCACCTCCCACATCTCTGGCCTGTACCCCAGCTCTTGTATGCATAAATAAATAAATTAAAAAAAAAAAAAACAAATTAGGGGCCTCCCTGGTGGCGTAGGCAGTTGAGTGCAGCACTGTGAAGCTATCCGCAGCCTCTGCAGTGCCGGTTTGATCCCCGCCAGCCTTGGAGCAACCCACATGGTGAGCAGACCTCTCCTGTCTCACCCGCTGCTCCCCTCAGCAGTGTATTTCATCAGTCTGCCTGTTCTGTTCCCTGCTTTGTCTCTGGTGAATCTTCTCACCCTCCCACGCATCTGGCCTGTACCCTGGTTCTTGTATAAATAAAAATAAATCTTTAAAAAAAAAACCAAATTAGGGGGAAACTACCTACTCTCTCAAGACTTATTATTAACCTTTAGTAATAAATACAGAGTATGATACAATGCAGTGGTACATAAACTCAACAGTGATATAGAAATAACAGATCCCAGAAATAGTCTTATGTATATAAAGGAATGTAATACATTTCAGAGGTGTCGTTGCAGATTACTGAGGGAAGAACTCTTTCTTTCTGTGTTTTTTTTTTTTTTGACAATACATAGAGATGAGCAATTAGCAATCTATATGAAAAATAATGCAAATGGATCTCTTCCTTATACCACATACCAAAAACTTCAGATTAAGTACTTAAATATGAAAGGAAAAAAATGAAGACCTTAGAAGAAATTATAGAAGACTTTAAGACTTCAAAACAAAAAAATAAAAGATTTTTTAAAGAGGACACACAAAATGCTAAGCATAACAGAAAAGGTGTACACAATAGTAATGATAATACTCTCATTGTTAAGTTTGATAGTAAGTTTACACACATACCTTTTATTAAACTTCATCTTAACGTAGATGCTCCAATGGACCAAAAATTACCTTATAAAATGGTTGACTGTAAAAAGAAAGGCATATAAATTCAGGAGAGAAAGAGGTCAGTACTTTAATAATAATGGAAAAAATAAACCCAACGTTTAGCAGAATTCTAGTCTTGCTAGTCAACCTGTGGTTTACAGAAATTTCTATAATACTCTGGTTTCTCTTCTGATAGTATAAATCTTTTGCCTTTTAAAGAAATTACTATAAAAGCAGGGTTGACATTAAAGATAATTGTAAAAAACCAAAAATCCTAGCAAGCTATTGTTTTTAAAGAATAATTGCTTTGCCCAATGAGTACAAATACAAGTCAACATTTGAAAATCTATTCTTATAATTCACTATTGTAATAGGTAAAAGATAAAAAAACACAATTATCTCAATACCAAAAATGTATTTGACAAAATTTAAGATCCATTCCTGAATTTGAAAAAATAACAAGCAGTAGAATACAAAGTTAATATACAAAGGTTAATTGCTTTTTTAAATACCAACAGTAACAAATAGAATTTGAAATTTAAAAAACAAAGCCACTTACAATAGCACCAAAATACTGAAATAAAAAAAAATACATGCAGGATTTTCATGTAGAAAAGTACAAGAACTATATAAATGGAGAGATATTCCATGTTTGCAGATGGAAGATTCAATATTAAGAGGTCAGTTCTTCCCACTGTGATCTATAGATTCAAAGCAATCCTAATCAAGCAATCCCAGCAGGTTATTTTTATAAATAGCAACAAAATGATTCTATAGTTTATAGAGATGGAAGACCCTGAATAAACAATGCAATACTGAAAAACAAGAACAAAGATGGAGAACTCACGCCACCCAATCTCTAGATTTAGCATAAAGCTACACTAACTCTCAAGATGTGGTACTGGCAAATGAATGGGCACGTAGATCAGTGGAACAGAGTAGACAGTTCAAAAATAGACCCATACCATATATAGTGATTTTGGACAAAGGAGCAAAGACAATTCAATGGAGAGAGCATAGCCTGTTCAACAATTGGTATTGGAACAACTGGATATACATACGGGGGGAAAAGTGAACCTACACACAGATCTTACATCTTTCAAAAAAATTAACTCAAAATGGATCATAGACATAAATGTAAAATGAAAAACACCTAAACTTCTATAAGAAAACATAGGGAGAATACCTAGATGACCTTGGGCTTGTAAATTCAGTACCAAAATCATGATCCATGAAAAAGAAAATTAAGTTAGACTTTACTGAAAAAAAAAAAAAACTCTGATATAATGAGAATTAAATGACAAATTACAGACTAGGAGAAAATATTTGCAAAACACACATCTGTAAAGCATTTGTATTCAAAATATACAAGGAACTCTTAAAACTTAACAATAATAAACATCTGAACAGCTACTTTATCAATGACAAATACAGATGGGAAATCATGTGAAAAATGTTTAACATCATTTGTCATTAGGGAACTGCACATTAAAACAGGGGATATCACTACACACCTATTATAATAGTTAAAATGTAAAACCAATTGGTATTTAAATATCAACTTAAATAAAATTTAAATACCAATTTGCTGGCAAGAATGCAAGGAACTCACTCATTGCTGATGGGATGCAAAATGGTATAGCCATTTTGGAAGACAACTTGACAATTTCTTATAAAGCTGAATATAATCTTACCATATACTCCAGTAATCATGTTCCTTGGTACTTACCCAGCTAGTTTGAAAAATTATGTCCACATAATAACCTGCATGCAAATGTTTAAAATAGTTTTATTCAGAATCATCAAAAACTAAAAACAAATCAGGATGTCCTTTGATAGGTGGTGGATAAACTGTGGAACATCCATACAATGAGCTATCTTTCAGAGATTTTAAAAATGAATTATCAAGTCAGAGAGAGATATGGAGGAACCTCTAGTACATATTGCTAAATAAAGTCATTTTGGGGCAAGATGGGGAAATTTGAATAAGAAATAATAGTGAATGGCAAATCATTTTAAGCGTGAGAATGGTGTTACAGTAAAATGGGACAATGGCCTCATTTTAGAGAAGGCTATTATATTATAGGAATGTCATAATGACATAAAGTGTGATGATAAAGTCTGTAACTGCCAGCAAAAGATTCAGCAGGAGAAAAAACACATTTGAGAGAAAAGCAAAAGTGGCAAAATATTAGATGGCAAGTCTAAATGAAAGGTATATGGGGCTCATCATACTATTCCTTCACATTTTCTGCAAGCTTGAAATTTTCCAAATTAAATTTGAGGGAAAATATCAGTAAGATTTTAGAATTGGAAAAAATGGTGAAGTTCACCTTGGAAAAATAAGCATATAACTAGGAAAAATCTTGAAAAAGAATGAAATATGTGTAACAACTTAAAATAATGAAGACGGCAATTTTTACAAAAGAAACAGATCAAAATATGTATGGAAATTCAATGTATGAAAGAGATGTCTTTTCAAATCAGTGTGAAAAAAAACTTAGTAAATGGGGTTGAGATAACCTGATAGCTATTCAGGGAAAAAAAAAACCTGTTAATCCTTACTTCACATCTTCCACTCAAATAAATTCCAAATGAATCAAAGATTTAAAGGTTAAAAAAAACTTTAAAGTGCTAGAAAAATAGATTAAATTTATTCTTAAATGTCAAAAGGGCCTTTCTAAGCAAGGCACAAAGCCCAGAAGTCATAAAGACTGATAAATTTAGCCACATAAATAAATCTCAGGAAAATATTATTAAACAAATGACAATGGACCAATTTTCTTAGCTTACAGAGTGCATACAAATCAATTAAAAACAAATCATATAATACAAAACAGAAAATGACCACAAAGTTCACAGAAAACGAAATATAAGTAACCAATAACATAAAAATGTATTCAATCTATCATTAAAAAGCATTATCATTTCATTAAGATGCAAGATACCATTTTTTTTTCACTTTCAGATTATCAAAATTTTAAGTTTAGTACTCAGTATTGGTATGGGCCTGATAATCATTCTTATTATACATTATATGCAGTGTAACTGGGCAAAGAATTCTGGAGAATAATTTGGCAATAGTGACTGAACTGAAAATGAAAAATATTCTTTGAACCAGCAATTCTATTGCTAAGAATTAACCCTGTAGTGCAATCTCTTGATATGTACAAATAAGTTTGCTGCAATATGGTTCAGCAATAAGAAAATGTTGGAAATAATCCGAAAGCCCATCAATGTTGAAACATTTATAACACATTCATACAATGGAATACCACACAGTCATGAAAAAGAATGAGATACTTCTGTATATATGGATATGTAAGGATTTAAGACACAGCAAAAAAGCAAGGTACAGAGAATGTATAGTTTGATTTCATTAATGTGAAAAATTTTTTAACTACGTATTTGCTAGCTAATTTTTTCCCTGAAAGACTATGCAAGACACTTTAACCTGATTACCTGTGGAGTGGGGGGCATTAGGGAGGGAAGGGGGCAAATTTTAACATCACTCCTTTCTGTACCATCTTTTTTTTTTTTTTGCCATGTGCATATATCACCTTTTTTTTTCCTTTTTCAAGAATACTTTACTGATACGTTAGTTTATGATATCCCTAGGTAGGTTTGAATACTGGTAGAACTATTTTCCCACAATTCTGAAATGCCAAGTTTACAAACTAAAACCCTTTGATTTTTACTAAACATCTGTCCCCTAATGCTATTAAATACATGACATTTGGTAACAGCAATTTGGCCATATAACAAACTTACGATGGACTAATTAGACACCGCTGCCGGAGGACCAAAATTCTTAAACCCCAAAGGGCATTTGATAATTATATATAAATGAAATTAACACATTCTATTTCAACTCTAAAAAACATAGAAGTGCAATAAGACTTTACTTGTATGATAAAAGTTAAAGCATCTACTGTAGAACAGCATCATAGTCATAAAATTAGCTGTTACATTTTTCTGGGGGCAGAGAAGCAGAAGAAAATATGATTAAAAGTAAAAAAAAAAAAAACCACTACCAAAAACAGGGTGAGACAATCATTTATTTATTGGACAGGGCAAGGTCATTTAAAGAAGGAAACATATCCAAAAAAATGTGTTTAGCTTGGTGTTACAGGCATCGATGCTCACAACAAACAACACTACTCAATACATCATGGAAACAGGCCACATACAACCAGGAAGATGCTGTCATGCCACTCAAAAATAAGCCACAATACTTAGGAAACAATCATTAGGGAGTTACAAAACATCACAGTCACCAATTCACCGATCTGCATTTCCTACAGCTGGGTCATTAGCCCATAGCGTTTGGCTGGTTCCCTGGTTAATTAAAAAGTGATTCTTCCTATATTCTAGAGCACCTTCCATAGTACACACTTCTGAATGTGACTGAAGTCATGGTTAACTGCAGGCTTAACTAGTCACATCACATTTTTGGACCACCCTCGGCAACCATGGACTGTCTCATAGCATTATAAATAAAATTCTCTCTTTAATCCATTTAGCACTGTTAACAATGCACCCAAATCATCTTTAGTCCTATGATACATACTTGAAAAAGACAGCAGAAATTTACTGGAGGAAATTTAAAAAGATATTTGGGGGGAAAAAAAGAAATTTGGAAAGCTCACCTGGCCCGAGATATATAAGCTGCCAGCCTGGAAAGTGCTGTATCAATTATTTGCCAAATTATTTGGCATCATTTTAGCAGGATTTTCCTGACTGGGCAGGCAAAAGATTTCAATATCCATTCTCAAGACTGGCCAAAACATTATAAGTAGTAATATATCATGAATGCCTGATTATGAGGGAAAAAGTCAGCTTTTAAGATTGGCCTAACCATCCTTCCTTACACCTTTGGATCTTACCTACCACTCCCTTTCACAGCAATCACAGTTCTCAAGAGGAGAAATTCTCACTCCACAGAGAAGAAAAACCATATTTGCTACCAAAGATATTGTACAAATCTGCTAACATGAAATGACCAGAATAGGCAAATCTATAGACACATAGATTAGTGGGTGCCCAGAGCTGGGAGGCGGTGCGGGGACATGGGAGGTGACTGCTAAAGCGCACAAAGTTTATTTTGAGGGTGATGGCCATGTTCTCCAGTGAACTGTGGTCACGGCGGCACCACTCTGAATAGATTACAAAACCATTGGACCATACCCTTTAAATGGGTGAATTGTAAAGTATGCCAACTATCTCAATAAAGTTTTATCAAAACTTACTGGGAAAGGAAGACAGCCCCCAAAGAGTAGAAAATAAGAGGGTCTTGATCAAAGCCTGATATAAAGAGCTTGTTTCTCACACACTATTTGGATTCCATTATTGCCACTTTAACCCCCAACTTCACATTTTTAACTCATTTCTAAGTCAGTCTAGGTTCTCAGCAGATTTCTCACTGTGCTCTCCTTGGAGAGCAGAGTCAGCATTCCACAGACAGACTGGTGGGCAGAACAAAACTGACGGCAAGTAAAAGCCCTGTGCTTTGGGGCTGTGCTCCCCAGCAGAATAGGAGAGCTAAGGCTCAATTCTAGTGGGAAAAAGCCATCAAGTGAAAGGGCTTCTTACAACTCTTGCCTAAAGCACATTTCCTTTTCAAATCTGCATAGTTATTTCCTTTACACCTATACAGTCTGAAAAAAAGCAATGTTTTCATACCTATACAATTCAACAGAATGTTCTCTCCCAAGAAATGTTAAAACTTCCCTGCACATCAAAGAGCTAGCCAAATTCCCCTAAAACTAAAATGATTATTTCTAAACAATTTCTACTCTGTATCCTCATTCTCACCATCAACATTGTACAATGATGATGGAAAATTCTAAGCCTGATTCAAATCCAAAGCTACAAAACAATGTTTTAAATGACCTTCATTCTTTTAACATTAAAGATATTAGTTCCAAATATTTAAAACATATTTGGCCCAATTCCTTTGAAGTTGAACTTTAATGACAAGTGTCCTTTATTTTTACTAATTCACTAGTTTAGTATGCAATAAAACAAGAGACTTTGAATAAGTTAAACTGACTAATGACAAGTAATCGGTTTTTTCTCAGCGATTACTATTCTTCTATATAAGCAGGATAATTAAATCATGGTCTTTTTGGTCTATCTTCAACTATTCTTATATAATCAATTAAGGAACATTTTTACAGATAAATGAAGGGAACACAAGTCGCTTTACAAGTTAAGTTTGTTAAAGTATTTGTTATGACAAGGAATCTGTGACACAAAAATTGCTCACTGCACACAGAACCCCAAAGAAGTGATGAAACAACACAACTGATGTTAGAAGGGACATGGGAACGGGGTAAGGGCAGGGGCAGGGATAAATTAAAAACTGGCAAGTATCTGCTGAAGCAGAGCCACTTTTTAGGGGGCATAAGAAAAACAGATGAGTCGCCCTTTCGGTCTCTTTAGAGAAGTCCACTTGTTAAAAACTGAAGACCGTTTTACTGTCATTCATGCTGCAAAATGCAGTAGTCACACTATTTCCAAAAGGATCCTAAAAACCGAAGTGCAAAAGAAATCAAAGAAAATAAATAATTGCAAAAACCATCAACATTTCTCAAATAAATGTGTTTAAAATAGTGACTTTTACAAAACATGTGACTTTGTTTTAAATGAAAAGATTTCCCTCTATGAAAAATCAAGACTCATTTCACAGATAACTTACATTGCATTCACGATTTGATTAACAGTGTACAAACAGGGGGCCATGGACTTTTTAAAATTAGGTCTGAAATTTCAATATAAATACTGATGGGGGGAGTGTTTTATACCCCAAACTCCAATATTCCGGCTCTGTGTCCTGTCCTATTGTTATAATTTGTAAAAATCTTAACGGCGCGGTGATTCAAGTTTTCTTAACTTCAATGATGAGTTAGAGGACAATGCATCTTGGTTTGAAGAATTTGTTGTATCCGAAGGCCGGAACAGTACTCGACCACGATGATTAAATACATAAAATGATGGGTGATTCCTTAATGTGTCAAATGTCCTTAAAAGAAAAAAAAGCATCAAATGTAGGCATTTCTATAAGCCAATTTGAAAACAGTCTTCCAATAAATTATGAATTTGCTATGGGTTATATTACCTTTAGCTGTTTGAATTCATAAAACCAGACTATAAATGGTGATAAAATTGTTTCTTTTTTCTGTACTAGGACAAAACAACATAGGGTCTAACTTTTGGTATGCAGCCCTTCCTTCCAGTACACCTATGAATAACAACATAAATAAAAGCTTGGCTTAATTGTCTCAATGAATATGACACTAGTCCAGGCCAAATAGTCTTTTTAAAAAGCAGAACATAGATTGTACCTTTTGATTATTCTCACTTGGCCCTCGTTCTTCAAGCCATACACTCTTTCCACAAATGTATTTTCCAAGAATCTTTCAAGTACAAGGAATTCCTTTTGGCCCTTCTCTACCTGTTGTTGCCCAAACTCATATATTTTCTTACCACCTACTAAACTCATATATTTTGCTACCACCTACTTAATGCCATTCAATTTTACTTCTTTCTTTCCTGGCCCTCAGCCTGTGATTTTTGGTAGACTCTTTGTAAAAACAGTAGTGGGTGGTGATAGTGGAGTATCCTTTCTTTTTTCCAGTGAGATATATATAGACAAAGAAGTTCACACCTAAGTGTAAAGCTTTTAGTGTTGGTTTGTTTTTAAATATTATTTTCCTGGGGGGGGGGAAAAAACTACTCTTCCTTTGATAAAAACTCAAATCTCAGTGGCAGCCCAATTAAAAATCTAAGTATGCCCTCACACAAAGCAAGAAGCCGGACATGTGACTATTTAAAATGTAAATAGTCAAAGTAATAAGGAGGTGATTTTCTCTAATACATGTTTATTGTGAATCCTTTTAATGGAATATTATATCATTTCTAAAATCAAGAAAGTGAGTACAGTCCAGAGATGGGATTCAACAAAGTCAAGAATGATTTAAGGAAAGGTAGAAGGAAAAGAAAAGCAAGCAAAGCTCATGAACATAGCTGGGAAGGAATATAGGAGAAAAAAGAAAGCAGAGCAACAAAATATACTTTAATACAGGAGTAGAAAAGGGCCTGAAAGCAGAAGTTATGTCACAGACAAGGTTTAAGTGATAGGGAGAACAGAAAACCCCATAATCTTCCAAAGACTAAGCTGGGACAAGTGGCTAAAAGGAGGAAAACAGAAGGCAGAAAGAGAAAAGAGAATGACTGGGGGGGAGGAAACATTCCTAAGGGAGCATCTTCTGATATATCTATTTCTAGTCATCCATTCATTCAACCAACAAATAACTTTAAACGACCATAATATAACATCTTATTGTAGTGTCAATAAACTGTCATTCATCTTTCACTTTTCCTATCATCAAACTGTGCTCCAGTATTTTTACCTCTTTGCTCATACAAACTGTACAATCAAAATGTAAACACAAACTTTTATGTACCACAAAACATATGCAAATGAATCAAAACACCTATGACATTCAATACCTATGAAAAGGGCAAGACTTACTTATTTTCTAGTTCTGAAGTGGCATCCATGTCTTTAAACTCCCCTGCAATATGAAGAACTATACCATAACAGGTAACTACAAAGGCCAGAAGTGTCTGAATAAGTATCTGTGAGTAAATATAAAGAATGAGATTACTAAATAGCATACAAATAGTGTTAAAATTTGCAATTCTCTCTCCATCTCTTTTTATCCTCTAACCGGAATCTCTCTCAGATCCTACTAAGGAGTCAATTCACACTTTAAATGACTTGGACTCAGGCACAGTAAAATCTATAAGTTCTATGAATCAGCTACAAAAATACTCCTGGATTTTGCTCAAATAGCAAAAATAGGTACTGAGCCATTCAGAATTCAATTATCAACTATTACCTGCTTCTAAAAGCAACTAAGATTTTAAATAAGTGTTACTGTTAATGTGTTCCTGTTAAATAAATATCAGAGTTAATATCATTTATATCATAGATATCATAAATATAGAATATAAAAAGGATACTCTTACCCGCCCCCCAGTTTCAAGTCCCATGTGTCCCTCTCCAAGTATATCCTTCACCTTCCACCCAAAATTATTGTTCCGAATCATGTATTAATCACTTCCTTGCTTTTTTTTTATAATTTTACCAGATAAGTATATATTTGCTTATTTCCACCCATTTTGAACTTTTTTTTGTCAGGTTCATCCCTGATATAGTATATAGCTCTAGCCCATTCATTTTCATTGCATTTTCAATGCATTTCATTGAATTTTGTATTTTATTATAAGAAAATACCAATTTATCCATTCCAGCTCTTTCCTGTGTTACTTTCATGATATCAATATGGATATCCTTGCATATATCTCCTGGCACACAGGAGTAGAATCCCTGGTGTAGGGTATACACACATTCAGCTTTACCAGGCAATAGTAAACTGCTTTTGAAAGAGGTAGTGCAAGCAAAACTTGCAATGTTTGATATTAGTCAACATGGGATTGCAAGCATGTTTTATTTTCTTGATTGTTATTCTCTGTATTTTTCAAATTTTCCAATTTGTAGCCAAAGTTATTTTAAATAGATATAAATGAGTGTGTATACTGAATAGATATGTGTGTGTACCTACCACAAAGCAAAGGTGATGGGAGAAGAGTTAATAGTCACGCCTACCATAGCCTTAATTATTGACAACTAAGTCAAGATTAACCACAAGCTATTATTCTAACTTCCTAAATTAAAGCCTAATGTCACATACTACACACCACTTTACATTCCCTTCATCGGTGTACCAAGATGACCTGCTTCATACAGTGCAATCATGGGTACTGTTAAGAAGGTCATAAATCTATGAGTTGGGGCCTCTCTGGTGGTGCAAGGGGTTAAGTGTTAGCACCATGAAGCTATCCACAGCCACTACAACAAGAGTTCAATCCCGGGCCAGGGAGCTGACCCACATGGCGCAGCAGACCTCTCCTGTCTCCCCCGCAGCTCCCCTCAGCAGTGTATTTCAGTCAATCTACCTGTTCTGCTCCCCACTCTGTCTCTGGTGAATCCTCTTACCCCCCACACCTCTGGCCTGTACCCCAGTTCTTGCATGCATAAATAAATCTTTAAAAAAATAAATCTATGAGTTGTCATGAAGACATGTTGAACATAATTGTTAATGAGAAAAAGTTAATTCTAAAACTATACACATATGCATAATGACTCTTTTTTTTACATTTTATTTTTATATTCCCCATACAATTGCAACCCCCTTATTTTGATCCCAAACCCTCCTTTCCCTGCCCCCCCTCATAGTGTGTCTCTGGTTCATAGTTGTTGATTTTGATTTTTTCTTTCTTATAGTTACTCTTTTTCTGGTCCCTTATTTAGGCTTTCTAGATTCCTGCTATGAGTGAGACCATCCGGTATTTTTCTTTTTCCTTCTGGATTATTTTGCTGAGCGTGATCCCTTCCAGCTCCATCCATGTTGCTGCAAATTGCATGTGTTTATCTTTTTTGATGCATAATGACTTTCTTAAAGACAAAATTCTCTTTGGATTAGGTAAAACCATACATGCATAAAGTAAGACAATGCTGTTTAAGCATTGGAAGAGAACTATCAATACTCCAAACCCTTGGGAATAGGAGAATTGCTGAGCAGAGCAGTCACATTTTTTATTCAATGGAGTTTTACTTTTTCCACTTACGTTTGAATCTGTTACAAAGAACTTACTACATTTTTATTTTAAAAACCAATAATGATCAAAATCATTTTTAAAATACACTTCCTTGTTTTTCTTTAGTTTTACTAATATGTATATGTTCCTAAATGATGTTGTTAGTTTTGTTTGTTTTTGAAATTCATATAAAAAGGAACTTTTCTAAAAAATAAAGTCAAATGATCAATTTTTAAAGTCCATCTCTCACACAATGGACAGAGCAACAACATCTAAAAAGACTACTTAAACTATATTAAAGCTACAGTTCTAGATATCAGGGAAATTTTTTGCTTCCAAATCGTTGGGTTTTATAATGAGTGACAAAAACAAGCAAATCAGAGCACAGATGTTATTTCATGTATGGAAAATTTTAAGAGAATAAAAACCAGTAAAAGAATTTATTATAAGTTATGTGACTAATTTTTCACATACATTTTAATGGAATATAAATGACCAACTTACATCTATTGGCAGTGATTCATCTTCCTTTTCTGTTAATCGCATATAAGAACGATCTATAAACCAGAAGCATACCATTAAGGAAATTGTAGCCCATTTTTCTTTCTTAAAATGCAAGCAAATCAATCTACCAAAGCAGCAGCTGATTTATATACTACATAAAGTAATGCTAATCCCGGATTCCTCAAAAACCTCTATCTTCTTAGGCAGTCGGTCTCATCTTGGACTATTCTTTTCTCATCTGACCTGTTTTATCACCTTATAAGACAAAATAAGAGTGAAAGGTAAGCAAGTATGAGAAAGATATACCTAAACATAATACTTTTCACTATTACAGGAAAACTGGAATCCTCTGAAACTAACCCATTTCTTAAACTAACTGGTCAAAGACAGTTTAATTTAAATTTAAAAATTAATGTCTCCAGAAAATCTCACCTCTGAAATAGCACCACCATCACATAGTCTGGACAAAGTAATATTGGTCTAGAAGTATTTTTCCTGAGAGAATATGCTTGGACAACGGTGGAATAGGAGATTCCAGGACACTGATTTCTGCATCTGTGATTTAAGGATAACGTGCTGCTGCCTTAGCCTCAGGAGGCAGCAAGGTATGAGGGAACAGGATCAGGATTTGGAAGCTGATAAGCCTGGATACCAGCTGTAACTGACTGTATCTCGTTCAACATAAGACATCCTCGTGGATTATAACATGTACCTCAATTTCAGAGTGTTAAAATGCAGGCATCGGAGAGGGGTTAAGTCTTGTAATTAAAAAATATATATGGCATCTATCTCTAAGATTCTGCAAAAGTTAAATGGGTACAATGTGAGATTAAATGGGTATAATGTGAGATTAAATGGGATATATGATAGGCCCTCTACCATAACCAAGTTCGCTATGGCAAAGTTGTGCATGTCTGCTGTCAAATCTGACACACCATTAGCCCCAAAGGAACCTTATATAGAGGTTCCCCAGCAGTGAGAATTCCACAAAGCATTCTCTTCTCACTGGAAACACAAAATCTTAATTCTAGAGAATTGTGCCCAACTCCTATTTAATAATGTATTGTAGACTGAAAAACCCAAATTATTGTTAAGTGCTTTTAAAGAGCATATGTTTAGAGACATTTCTGAATTTTTCTCTTACAGGGTTTATTATAAGGGCAGGCATAAAAAAGAAAAATCAAACCAGCACCAAAGATGGGTTTTGGCTAACTATTCCCAGCTAGCTTTCCTCTTTGCATAGAGCCAAATGTGACTGGAACACTACCTTTAACCAGGTATTTCCTCACCTGTAATATGCACTTGATCTTAGCCAAAAGGCCGAGAAGCGATCGTCCTCATCTATAATATGAAGGGGCTGGCTCCAGTGATCTCCTGGTGCTAGTACTGTACAATTTTACAGCTGAAGCCTATGGTAGAAAATGAAACTGTACTCCAGTCTCCTAATGCTAGGGCAGTGCTTCTCAAACTAGTGTGCAAACAAATCACCTGAGAAGCTTATTAAAACGAACAAGTTGTAGTCAATAGATCCGTGGTGGGGCAGAGTTTTTGCATTTCTAACAAGCTCCCAAGTGATTTCCACCATGCGGGTATGTGACCACACTTGGAGCAGCAAGGCTCTAGAATGTTTCTCTTAACCCCTTGCCCTTTGAAAAACCAAGATACTTTTAGCATAGCATCTCTATCACTTTGTGATTATTTCTTGCTTCATCTGTTTCTTCACTAGACTTTGAACTCCCTCAAGGCAAGCATCCTTGTACCTTTAACACACAGCCAGATTTCAAACAATCACCCTGGATTGCACTTTTAAAAGCAGTGTGACAGATAGGCTCTAGAGTTAGAATGCTGGGCATGAATCCAGACCCCACCATCTACCATCTCTGTAATTTTGTACAAGTTTTCTAGCTGTGTGTGTCTCAGTTTCTTCATCTTTCAAAGGTAATAATTAATAGCGACATCATTAGGCTTTGGGCAGGACTGATTATACAAAACTAAAAGTTTAAAAAAGTCCTGGCATATGGCAAGCATAAACACTTGATAAAAATTAGCTACTGTTATCAATAAAGTTTTGAACTTTGGAGGAACTATCACAGAACAGAGGAGACTGGGGAAACACGGCTAACTCTAGTGTGTGACAGCCTGTAGTAATTCCAGGCACACAAAAAGATGTTAATGGAAAAACTGGTAGAATCCAAATAAAAGCTAGACTTCAGTTAACAGCAACATACAGATCTAAGATTTACTTGTGACAATATACCACAGTAACATAAAATGTTACCAATAGGAGGAACTAAGTGAAGGGTATATAGTAACTTTCTGTATTGTCTTTGCAACTATTCTGTATATTTATGTAAATTTCAAAATAAAATAATCTAATAATTAAAGCCGAATTTCTGTCAAAAAAAAGTTATAATACATGTAAAAAGGGGGGTAAAAGAATTGGCTCATTTTAATTCTATATAATAAACAGGACAAGGGGTTTTATATAGAAAAAATTGAATTCACATTTCATTTTCTACTTTATTCCTGAAGATGAAAAGTAATTTAGCAATAAAGGAACAAAGTTCTCCCTGAATTCATTTCCTTCATTCAACAAATTTATTGAGTCCCTACTGTGGGGAACACTGTGCTAGGCAATGGGATTACAGCAACGAACAAAACACCGCCCGGGTTTACAGTGGGCTCTATAGGCTAGGCCAGGGGTCAACAAACTTTTCCTGTAAGGATGCAGATAATAAATGTTGTAGTCTTTGCAGGTCACACTTTCTCTGTTGCAACTACTCAACTCTGCCCTTAGAAAGCAATCAGACAATACTGATGCGTGGGCGTGGCTGTGTGTCAATAAAACTTCATTCACAGACATTAAAACTTGGATTTTATAATAGATCCAAAAATGGTATTCTTTTGCTCCCATCCCCTCCCCCTCTTAAACATGTGAAAGCATTCTGATCTGATCACAAAAACAGGAGGGAGGTTGCATCTGGCCCACGTGGCAGTTTGCTGACCCCTAGTCTAACAGACCAATTGTCTCAAGCCTGTACCGCACCACCTCTGCTGGACCGCAGTTTCCTCGTGACGATACAATTACATTTCTATGCTAAAAAAAACTTTAAAAAATTAAACTTCCCAATCATTTTGCGACATAGGAAGGGCAGGAATTAAAATCCACCTCAATATTGCCTCAGAGAAGGGACATGATTTGACTTGTCCAAGGTCACACAGATTTAGCCATAAAGTTAAGAATCAGCCCGCCAGACTCCCAGTCCAGTGCTCCTCGCCCTATACCACAGTGCCTCCCTGAGGCAAGTGGTCACTTAACTTCTCAGTCTCTGCCTGGACGTTCCAGTAGTGCCCAGGAGGCTGTCCACCTCGTTGTCATGGGACCATGCGCATCCAAGCTCTTCAATCTGACACTGTGTTTGATCAGCGCCACGCTGGATCTGGTATCACTTGTCCTGGCTTTCTGGACAGACTACCTTTCTGCTCACCTGGTAGCCCCGCGGGTCCCGCTCCAAGCCCTCTCCCAGTCCCCCTTGCCAACCCTGCCGCATTCTCAGGTGCCCCGCTCCCCTAAAACTCAGACTCCAAGCCTTCCACCCGGGAGCCCCGCACTACTTCCCTTAGCTACCCCAAACTCTAAGGTATCAAATGATCGCTCCTGGGACACTCGGTCTGACACTCCCTCCGGGGTGCACCCACACACCGCCCCCGGAGTCCCGCCCCCAGGCACTCACGCTGCGCAGCGGAAAAGGCAGCGTGGGCTAGGGCAAAGAGGCCGATGCCCACGAGTCCCTTCCACAGTGACGGCGCCATGATCTGCAGGAGCAACAGCCCAACAAAAGAAGCGAAGGGCGGCGAAGCAGATCCTTCTTCCACCCGCGGGTGTCCGCGCAGCGCAGAGAAATGACGTCACCGAACCCCTGGGCGCGAAGTGCCTCAAAGGTGGAAAAACCAAGGAGCCATGAGAAACCGGAAACAGGAATGCCGGGAAGAAGGGAAAGCGACACGGAACAAGGTCGGCCAGTGCGGGCAAGCTGCGCCTGCGTATCACGACTCAGCGAGGGGCGGAGCTAAGCGGAAGCGGGAGTCAATGGGGAAGGAGAGAAAGGGCGTCAGCAAATGAGCGCGGGCCGCGAGGCGAGGGGCGGGGCCTTCGGAGAGACCCGGGCGGGGTGGGGCTGGTGGTTAAAGGCCGGCGGCTCTGGGTCTCTACTCTCCGCGGGTGGTTCTCGTTCATTTGTTTTACCTTATTTTCAAGCTGTGTCCTTTGTTTCCTGTCGACCACTCCTGTGCTTGTGCCCCCTGAGAACCGGCCTAGTGGAAAAAGGCAAGGGTGTGAAAGCCAGGAGACGGTGGCGTGTAGACGAAAAGAACCAGGGATGTGAAGCAGCAAACACGTGGCACGCGGGGGCGTGGGGGGAGGGATGCTCAGCAAACGTTAAGTTCCTTCTCCTTACCTTTCAAATGTCTTGAATTAACGTCTGTAGGGATGGAGCTCGGCGGGAAGACAGATGACTTACATTAAGGAGGAAATGGAAGGGGCAGGAATAAAAGGATGCTGACACCGCAGGCCCAGCTTGTCTTTGTGTCTCTGATCAGAATATCATATACTCTCCTTTCTCTAGTTCTCTTTGTCTTCGTCCCCTAAAATGTAGGCATTCAATAGTGAGCTGCTCCGTTTGATCTCTTGTCACTACCCTCTTTTTTTGGCTAGCTCACCTATTCGTTCCCACCTTTAGAGCCATCATAGATACTTGTGTTCCATCTCGACATCTCTATCTGAGATATCTCTCCTTACCTCCAGGCCTGCGTTTCTGACTACCTGCTGGTCATTTATTTCTATCCTGTGGCGCTTCAAATTTAATATGGCCAAAAGAGAATTCTTCCTCTTTACAAACTCTGTACCAGTTCTTACAGTGTCCCCTCAGTGACTCGCGGAGAGGTGTAAACAGCCTCTCACAGGGTTCATTCTTTGCCCTCAACTCTATCAGAAGTCTGCTTTACCTGCATCAATTTGCTTGCTCACTTCTCACTTTGCTGGGAGATGCCTATTCTGACCACCACCTTTAAATTTGGAATCTTCCCATTTCTGATTCCCTCAACCTGACCTTTATCACGCTCTAGTTTGCCCATTTATTACATGGGTTTTGCCTATTTATTATTGTTTACTGTCTCTCTTCCCCACTGGGTGTAAGTTCCAAGAGGACTACCTAGAACATTGCCTCTCATATGGTAGGGGTTCAATAAATGTTTGTTGAATGAATTAATGAATTATGAGAAAGGGGATGGCATGTATTCTTGTTTAAAAGGATCTCTACAGAGAATCCTTCCATTATTTTGAAGCGGGTCCAAAAACCCTTGTGGACTTGTATGCACTCATAAATGTTGGTAAGCCTTTGATTGATGATAAATATTTTCTGATATACTGTAGCTTCCTTAGTGCTAATTTAAAAAAAATAGAAAATAAAGAAGGCATCCAAGAGCCATCTGATTTCCTTAACTTTACCTATATAGTTTTTGTCCTCGATCCCATTTTCGAAACCTTCAATTATGGTCATTACTTTTCTCTGGCTCCTCTCCAATTTCTTCACCTTTAAGCCAAGATTTGACACAGTACTTGTTCGATGTCAAATACAGTGTAATGTGTTCCTTACAAATAGAGTCCTATTTATAAATCTCACCATCAGGAAGAACCAGGAAATAATTTCTCTATACCTCACAGGAAAGTATTTCCTTCTCCACCCCAGGGAGGTGGCAAGATAGAAAAGATAGTTGATCCAAAAAAAAACTTAAAATTTTATTTTAACTTTGATAATGGTCACATTGAAATTAACCTTTTGAACACACTATCAAATTGCCCCTGCTGACATTAATTTATCTGAAGCAGAAAATGGCAGGAGGATTTTTAAAGGAGCTGAGGTCCTTTTCCGTTCTTTGGAAGAAAATGAGATTGAGTGGGGAGGAAGCTAGTAAAAAAATCTGCTATTTGTATACACCACTAATATGTTATTCTAATTTTCAGGGCGGTGACCTGTGTCCAGATATTGAATGTTATTTTCTCCATTGCCCACTTAAAATGCTTACCCAACTTTTCCTTTGAATCTCTTACTCATGTACTGAGTGCAAAAGTAACTAGGCTAGTTACACATGTTCTAGAAATAGTTAACTTGTATTCATGAAGTGGGATTTTAATTGTCTTCTCTGTAGATTCCAACCTGAAGGAAGCCAAGGTCTTCCTAATCACAGTTACCAAGGGCTGTATCACTAAAGTAAGTACCTTGGTTCTCTAGGTTGGAGTTAATCCCAAAGGTCCAAGGTACAGCTAGTGACTATGCTGTTGGAACTAAAATCAAAACTCATGAGAAAGAGTATTTGAATTCCTGCATGCCACCAAAAGTGCCTTTAGTTCTCCCAAGGAAACAGCCAGTTTCCATATGCACCATGAATAAGTGATGTGGATATTATTAAAGTTGGGGATAAGGATTTCTAAAGCATTGCCTGCTAAGGTGTTGAGGAAGACTCATCTTGTTTCCCCAGGATTGCCCATTGAATAGAGAAAGCACAGCTCTCCCAGCATTGTCGTCAAGTTAACTTTGTTTCATGCCACTCAACTAGATGAGTAACTTCATATACCACTTATCCATGTTTCATTTCCCACACAGATTCTCCCTCTAGTATACTCTATCTTTTCTTACCTACTTCAAAATTCCACTCTCCCTGGGATTATGTTCCCAACAATCACAGGTATTATTAAGAGATGGATATCTATGGTAGGTATTAAACCTTTCTTAAAGCTATTTATATTTATTACAACCTCCCTGGATAACAAATTCTAGAAGACCACTGCCTGCTGGGTTTACTAGTATTTTCAATATTTATGTTGAAATTACATTTTTTAAACAAAAGTGATGTGTGCTGTGTAAGACATTCAAACAATGAAACAATGTATTCCCTTTAAAGCCTTTAGTGGTGCCTTGGCATTTTCAGTTTTGAATCTTAGTAAACAAGATTATGTTGACATGACTCATATCTTTAGATTTGTTTGCTGGTTGGTTTATACTACTGTGTTAAAGGCATATGCTCTGGAATCAGATCGGGTTTGAATCCTGACTTCTCTTTTATTACTTCTGGGAGATTAGACAAGTTACTTCACTTTGCTTCAGTTTTCTCATCTGTAAAGTAGATAAATAATAGTACTTACCAGATAAGATTGTTGTCAAGACTGAGTGAGCCAAAACATTTAAAGTGTTTAGAATAATCTCACAGAGAGTGTGCCTCAATAAATGTTAGCCATTACTACTATTGTTGTTGAGTGTCCTAGCCACCTTTTCAGACTGAAGAGGTTCTTTATCCTTTTAGTCTTACCTAAAATATCAGTTGCTTCTCCCCTTTGATTATTTTAATTGCTCTTCTCTGGACCATTTCCAGATTTACTAATATCTCTCTTGGGGTTTCATTACCACATCTGCAGAATGTATCCTAGGTTACTTGTTTGAGGTAAATATGATTATTTCAAATAGTCACTGAATATCTTATTTGTTTTTTCTTTGTAACACTCTGGGTTGATATATTCAGGAAATAAACTGAAAACTCCAGCATAATTATAATGGCTTTTAACAGATAGCTGTGACCTGTTCTTTGTTGTACTCCTTGAATATAGGCACTCCCTGTCTGCCTTAAGACTTGGTCTCTTTCTACCCTCTCTTCTTTGGAGAACACGTGAACTCCTTCAGCTTCAACACTGTGCATACAGGCATACTTCATGTTATTGTATTTCATTTATTGCACTTTGTAGATATCATTTGCTTCTTCCCAAATGGAAGGTTGGTGGCAATCCTGTATCAAACAAGGCTGTTTGGTACCATTTTTCAACAGCATGTGCTCACTTCATGTCTGTGTCACATTTAATTTTTTAGATATAATGATATTGCAACCTTAACACTTGACAGCAGTATATGGTAAATTTAACCTTTATATGGCCTGGGAAACTAAAAAATTCACAAGGACTCACTGTATTGTGATAGTCACTTCATTGTTGTTGTCTGGAACCTCACCCATAACATCTGGGAGCTGTGCTTATATAGCTCACAAATCTATCGGTGATTTTGACTTCACTCCTGAGCTCCAGACCCAAGCTACTAACTGCCTCTTTAGATACCTCCACTTGGATATTCCCCCCCACATCACTTATATCCAACCTGTGCAGTACCAAACTTTGCCTTCTGACTCCCATCTTATTGCCATTAGCAGTTCCATAGTTTCATGTACCCAAGTTCAAAACCTTAGCATACTCCTTCAATCCTTCTTCCTCAGGTGTTCCCCACTCACCCATCCCATCAATCACCAAGACATGTTCATCCAGCCTCTGCATGTGCTTGTGCATCCAGCTTCCCATTTTTATTCCTACTGCATCCAATAAGCCAAGGCCTCATTACTTTTCAGCAAGGCTATTTTCTAACCTCTTAACTGGCCTCCCCTACTGCTCAACTCCATGCATTTCACTCATTCTCCTTTCTGCTGCCAAGTTAATATTGGGGAGGTTTTGATCAGGGAAAGGAATGATTTACAAAATTTTGTGGCAGAAAACTTTCCACAATTTCATCTCAATTTAGCTTTTCAGCTTAACCTCCAACAAATGAATTAGTTCAAATCAGTGTCTGCTAAGCACCTCCAATGAACCAAGGACTGTGCTTAACACGGAAGTAAACTTATCTATATTTTTTAGTTATCAAGTATTTACTGTGTACTTCCTATGTACCCAGTACCGTAAAGTCCCCTTTCAGTTTTATCCTTATATTGCATTTATTTTCTTGAAGAAATTTAATGTCATCTGCAAACATGGAGATTTGTTGGTACTCAGCTAAATGTAAGAGACAGTCATTGATGCTGTGATGTGTTTTATCTGTATTAAAGAGATCTTGATGCTCAGTTCTTTTTTGGTTAGACCTTCTACCAGGTGCTAACAATAAAGAATATGTAACACCCTGTTCCTGCCTTCAAGGTAGTCATGACCTGTGGAATCACAAAAATGTGCAACAAG